GGGGGCTCTGTGATGGGGCTCTGTGATGGGGGCTCTGTGATGGGGGCTCTGTGATGGGGCTCTGTGATGGGGCTCTGTGATGGGGCTCTGTGATGGGGTCTGTGATGGGGGTCTGTAATGGGGGTCTGTGATGGGGCTCTGTGATGGGGTCTGTGATGGGGGGGTCTGTGATGGGGCTCTGTGATGGGGCTCTGTGATGGGGGGTCTGTGATGGGGGCTCTGTGATAGGGGTCTGTGATGGGGGGTCTGTGATGGGGTCTGTGATGGGGCTCTGTGATGGGGAGTCTGTGATGGGGCTCTGTGATGGGCTCTGTGATGGGGGTCTGTGATGGGGCTCTGTAATGGGGGTCTGTGATGGGGCTCTGTGATGGGGCTCTGTGATGGGGCTCTGTGATGGGGGTCTGTGATGGGGGTCTGTGATGGGGGTCTGTGATGGGGGTCTGTGATGGGGGCTCTGTGATGGGGGCTCTGTGATGGGGCTCTGTGATGGGGAGTCTGTGATGGGGCTCTGTGATGGGGCTCTGTGATGGGGGTCTGTGATGGGGCTCTGTGATGGGGTCTGTAATGGGGGTCTGTGATGGGCTCTGTAATGGGGGTCTGTGATGGGGGTCTGTGATGGGGCTCTGTGATGGGGTCTGTAATGGGGGTCTGTGATGGGCTCTGTAATGGGGGTCTGTGATGGGGCTCTGTGATGGGGCTCTGTGATGGGGTCTGTGAAGGGGGTCTGTGATGGGGTCTGTGATGGGGGGCTGTGATGGGGCTCTGTGATGGGGGCTCTGTAAAGGAGGTTCTGTATGGGGTTTCTGTGATGGGAGCGTGGACCTGAGGGCCTGAACAGACGGGAGGGGGTGGGAGCCCAGCGGGTTCCTCACTGTCCGCTCTCTGCTCTCAGAAAACTCCCCCATCTCTTAAGACAGCGGGACACAGGAACTGGGACACAGTCAGCGGTGCCCCAGCATTTGTTTCTATAAAATGAAAACTAATAAACTAAAGATGGTGCTGTGCTGCCCAGTCTTCCCTCTGTTTGTAGCAGATCAGCAAGAGAAACAAAGCACACACACGGATTTACCTTGTCTTAAGATGTCAGTTTGGGGGCTTTTGCTCCATCTTTCTTTTCAAACATCCTTTAAAACATTATGAAAAGGGCTTCACTGCGCTTTAAAGTGGTAAATATCAAATGAAAAGGTTTTTGTTTTTTGTTTGTTTTTTGTTGTTGTTTTGTGTGTGTGTGTGTGTGTGTGTGTGTGTGTGTGTGTTTTGTTTGGGGGGTGGGGGGAGTCTCCTTCATAAGCAGCCCCTTTGACAAACAGGCTCCGTAAACTTCGTGGCGGAAAACCACTTTCCGATCTGGACCAACAGGATGCCCAAACCTGGTGCCGTGCCACGGGGGGTCCAGGAGCCCCAGCCTCGGGGCTAGGGAAGAGGACCGTGAATGCAATTATAGAAGCTAATAGCTTCGTTGGTGCCAAGAGGTCAGAGTTCCCGCAGTGCTGACACAGGAGGCTCCCTCAGCAAAAGGCTCCGGGCCTCGGACACATTCCACGGAGGCACAGGAGCGCGTCCTCATCCGCACAGCACTGGGCACCACAGACGGTTCGCTCTGCGCGGGGAGTTTTGCCTTTCCCTCTCGTTTTAGCAAACGAGGGAGAATTGGCCCCATTTGTCCTACCCCCTTCTCTTCTTCAGATAACGCAGGCACTTTTGATTATCCACCTTGATCTGAACAAAAGGCAAGACTTCCCCCCACCCCCCACCCCCTTCTACCCAGAAACTCTCATTGAGAGATTAATCTTCTAGACGAACAATGAACTCATCCCGTGGCCTGTGAACTTGCTGGTTGCCAGGAGGCCTGTGAAGGCTCAGGATCACTGTGGACCCGGCAGCATCCACCGGGGGCCCTCACAGTCCCAGAAGGCGTGAAGGTTTGGGAATGCTCCGACTGTCCTTTTGCAGTATAGTTTTAAGTGTTAAAGGTGTCTGCGCTAACCTCTAGAGCTTGAGCGTAATTTATCCTGAAGGTGTACAAAACAACAACAAGAACAACAAAAAAGCCAAGCTAAATGTCAGGGGTATCGCTGTAAATCACATTTCAAACCGGTGATTACTTATTAGTGGAGGAAAAGACTGCTTAAAAGGGTGCTGTCCCATCGGAAAGCTATTAGGGAATGCCTGCCATTTTGCCTTAATCAACAGAGGAAAACGTGAAGTACCTACTCCGTAATAGGGATGCCAGACAACTATTAATAAAAATCTCAAGGATCTCTCTCTTTCCCTAAAGTTTAAAACAAAAACAAAAACACGTTTCCCCCCATAGTTTTTATTTGTTGGGGGAGAGGGGGAGAGATTGCTAAAAATAGTCTCGATGAAGTTATTTAATTTAGTCTATTTCTGAAGAGGCTTGTCTTATCCTTTGAACCCCAACAACAAAAAGTCCTTTTTGCTCCCAGCGAAGTATGACGACACCAGCAGCTATCTCGCCCAGTGGCTGGACAAACGGAAAGGAGAAACGTGAAAAGCCTCGTGTGTCCCTGAGCTGCTCCATTCTCCGTTTCGCTTCCACGGGACAAAGCTCCTGTGTATAGCTGGAGTCCCCGGCCTGACCCACGTGGACTTCCTCCGCCTTTCCTGAGAGGAAGAGGCCTTCCGGTGCTGCATCTCAGCGGGCTCCCCTGCCCGTCTCGCCCCACCAACACTCTCATTTGGAAAGGAGCCATATTTGAAAAGGAAATGGGTGATATCCTCCCCTCCCCCAACAACCACAACAACAACAACAACAAAGATGCCTGTGAGAAAGGTTCCACTTCCTCTCCCAGGGCTCACCATCCTGTCTGAACACTGACCATCCCCTGCCATTGGCGAGAACACCTTTTCTTACTTGCATCGGCGAACATCTAAGATAAAGAATAAATAACGGTCCTTCCTCCCCGGACAAAGCCAGATGATAAGCCATCCCGTAACCCCAAAAGAACCTAGCAAGGCTTTGGGGGGGCGTCGAGGGTGGTGGGAGGGGGGAGGGGCATTTCCAGAAAAAGGCTGAATGAATGGCACAGCTCTTCTTCCCTCATCTTTTGGGTTTCTTTTCTCAGAAGCAACCTCACATCGAAGCTGCCTAGAGAACCACCAACCAGCCTGAGCCAGCGCCTCCTTCGCCGTCACCCCATGACGCGCTCACCACGTGCAGGCCAAGAAATGACACGAGGAAGGAGAACCAAATAAAAACGCCTGGCCCCACGGGCCGTGGCAGAGAAGTTCTTGGGGGAAGAAGGGAAATGGGATCGTAATGAAGCCATGCCCGGTACACAGAAACGGGCTCCAAGCAAATGTGCCCGAACTCATGAACGCGGCTGGCAGGTTTGTCGAAGAAACGAGGGCCACCTGCCCTCCCGCTGGGTCTGAGCCCTGGCCAGGGGCCACGGGAAAGGGACCCTCCCACTCCGTGTGCAAGGAAGCCGGGCAAACCCTCACGCACACAAAACCCGGACTGCCTGCCCACTCAGGGCAGACGTGGGTGTCCAGACACATGCATTCTGAGGTTAGATTTAGGTGCGTTTCAAAATCCTCTCGCACCCGTCGGGAGACTATAGCAGCCACAGCTGCAATCGACTTACATTACTGACGTGTAAATCTTTACGGATTTGGCTGTTTCTGAAAGAAAGCCCGGCCCCAACACCCTTAGGTCGCTAGGTTTGGCCATTTGGCCATTAAAAAAAAAAAAAAAAAAAAAAGATGGTTTTTTCATTTAGGTTTTCTATTCATGGAAATGTGGCCACAGGACATTTTTTTACAGCATGAGATACTGCCCCAGTGTTTTTTGTTTTTTTTTAAACTTTGCTGTTTTAGGAGCAAGCCAGTGGGGTTAGACTCTTAAGCACCAACCACCAAGCCATCTTCCCAGGGAAGACGGGACGTGGCCATGACTGGGTTACCAGGTACTTTCATGACTCGGTGTTTAGGAGAACATGAATTCTTCTGGGATGAAAAACAAACACACACACACACACACACACAAAAATGATGTCTTGCACAGGATTGCATACAAACGGTCAAACCCACGGGTCAGGAGAAAACCAGGAAAGGGTGCCAGCCTCTCCTTCCTTCAGCCTTTCCTGCGTGGTTCTCCCAGGTCCCACACCACCGCCAGTTCCCTGGTGTCGGGAACCTGCCTCCAGGGAGACGCCTTGCCCGGCCCAGCATTCTAAGATGCAACCCTTTTCGGGGGAGGGGTTTCCATGGACCGTTTTTTTGTGTGTTTGTCCTTCCTTCCCGTCTGACATGCAAATACACAAGACGGGCCTCCATCCTTTCCAGGCCACCGAGTCCAAAGCAGCCTATGTGCAAGCCGCACAGCATCATGTGAGCGCTCCATCCGCATACACAGCATCACCCCACCGCCGAACGCGTTCAATGGGCTCCCGCAGAGCTGGCTGCGTGCGCGCACACACATACACACACACACACACACACACACACACACACACACACACACACACACGGCCTGAGCCGGGGATGCATGCGGGCTCGCCCGGGACCTGACTCAGACCATTCAGACCTGTGCATGGAACCTGTTCCCTTCCCCCCCCCCCAAAAAAAAAACGGGGGGTGCTTCAATGCCCCAGGGGATGGCTGGCCACCATGCAGGCGCCAGCAAGCCCGGGACTGCGGGGAGCGACCCGGGGCGCAGCTCCCCGCAGCCCTCCCGGAGGCTGCAGCCCCGCAGCTGGCGCCCATGCATCCCCCCCGCAGCCCCGACGCGCGGCGCGGCCCCCTCCCCATGTCACCCAGCTCATCGCCCTCCAACCCCATATTGCGAGGGCCTGCTGTGCATCTTGCGGAGGTACAAAATGGTGGATGCGAGCTCCTTTTTTTTTTCCTCCCCCCATAACTTATCGCATCCCTCAGCCATCAGCCACCCGCGGCCCGCACCCCCATGAGGAGCGGCGCGGCGGGGAGCCCGTCCCCCGCGGCCCAGGCCCGGCCCGCGCGCGCCCGCGGTCACCAACCTGATGTCATGTAGCCGCGCGCGGCCGGGGGCGCGAAGGCCGCGGGGAAGCGCTTGTGCTGCAGCCGGTAGTCCTTCTCGCTGCGGGAGCGCACGCGCTCCGAGGCCGCCCGGTCCGAGAAGTCCGCGCTGGGCCAGGCGCGCCGCAGGGTCGTGCTGCGGGTCTTCTTCATGGTGCGGGGGGCGCGCCGCCGCCGGTCCGGGCCTCAGCGCCGCCGGGGCGCCGCGCGCGGCTGCCTCCGCCTCAGGGCGGGCACGGCCCGGGCGCCCGCCGCGCGCATCCCCCCGCCGCCCCCGGTCCGCGGCGGCTACAGCGCCCGCCGCCGGCCCGGCCCGCCCCGCGCCCCCGCGCCCCGCACGGCCCCGGCTCCGCTCGCGCCCCCGCCCCACAATGCATTCCACTTCATGTGCCGCCCGCCCGGCCTGTCGCTTCCAGATTCCGGGGGGAAGGCGCGTTCGGGGCTCCCCGGGCCGGAGGGGGCGGGAGGGGGCGGGCGGGCGGGGTGCAGGGCTGGGGTGGGGGGGCGCCCAGACTTGCAGCGTGAAAAGCGGCGACGGGAGCCGCGCAGACAATGGCCCGATTCAGCGCAGGCAGGAGAGCTCGGCCCACCGGGAGGGCGCCCGCCCGGCACAAAAGACCCAAACAAACGGGGAGCCCCCCGCCTCCGGGGCCGACCCGGGATCGGGCTCCCGCCCCGCCCCGCCCCGGGGCAGCCGGAGGGGCGGCCCAGCGCCGGGAGGAGGCGGCGGCGTGGGGGGATGACAGCGTCCGAGGCCGGTGCCCCGGGCCTACCCGCCGCGCGGCCCGCAGTCCCGGGTGCGGGCGGGCGCCGCCTCCGCTGCGGTCCTCGGGCGGGAGGCCGTCGTCATCACCGGGGCGGGCGGCGCGGGCGGCGCGCGGGATCGGGGTCCGGGCGGGCTCTGCGGGCGGCGGCGGCCGGGGCTCCGCGGGGCCGGGAGCGCGGGAGCGGCGGTGCTCGCGGCCGCTGCGCCGGGTCCGCCGCGCTCCTGGCGCCGCGCGCGTGTGTGCGCGCGAGTGTGCGTGAGTGCGCGCGTGTGTGTGCGCGCGTGAGTGCGCGCGTGTGTGTGTGTGCGCGCGCGCGTGGGCCCCGACACGCATGTGCCCCCTACACAGGCGGGCTCCTGCCCACTGGCCGGGGCGGCGGCGGAGCCATGGCTGCCGAGGGTGCGGAGCGAGGAGCCGGCAGACACCACCCCGCGCGGTGGCACCGCGGCTCGGGTTCGAGCGCGCACACAAACGGCTCCGGAAGGGCAGGAAGCGGGGCGGACCCGCTGGCTGCCTAAGTCAGAGCGCGGGTCCGGGCAGGCTTCTGGGTTCCAGGTGCAACGCCCCGCGGGGGCGCCGCCGGGCCTGGCCTGGCGCCCCGGCTCGGAGACCATCTACATGTCCTCCGGAGGGGCCTCCCGCGCAGGCAGGGCGGGCACCGCCCCGGGGGACGGCGATCTGCGGTGCCCGGCGCGGCCCACCTGCGCCAGCCCCCATCAGCCGGAGCCGGGGACGGAGTGGGGCACCGCGAGCTCCTGCAACCGCCGCGCACCCGGCGCCCGGGCTCCGCCGCCTGGAGACGCAGCGCGGTGGCTCGGCTCATCCTCGCTCCGGAGCCCCCGCGGGAGCCTCCGCCGGCCGCCGACCTGCCTCCGGCCCCGCAGCTCCGGCTCCGGAGGCTGCGCACCGCGGCCCAGGCGCGGGGTGCGCGGGGACGCCGAGGTCACCGGAGCTACAGGCGAGTCCCCGCGAGGCTGCGCGGCTACCGCGTCTCCAAAAGCGCTTCTCGCCCTGTGTGGGTTTTCAAAAGCGCTCTGGTGTGATACACAGCAAGGGGAAGCCCGTGTTTTAGGCTGCATCTTTGAGCGGTTTTCCCATTTGTGAGGATGATGCACCTTCCAAGATCATTTCCCTTGTGCTGTGGTTCCATAACCACAGGTGCCATGGTGCAGAGGCAGGTTGTAATCAGGGACTAGGATCTTAAGCTGATGGGAGTTGGGGGGGGGGGGGTGAAGAGCCCGCGGGTTCTAAATGGTTCTGATTCTGTTCCAGCATCGTTCAGTGCTATTCCAAGGCTTGAATTATTGGGGGGCCGGGGGGGGGGGGGAGCAAGGTTTTTGGAGAATCGTGCAGAGGGACTGACTGGGTTTCAGCCACAAGCATTACAGAATCCAGAACTGGAGCCCCCATTCCATATCTCCAGACTGCCCTTTGTAACCTGAGGCTAATGTAACTCATCTCTCTCTCTCAGGATACCCGGGGTACAAAACAGAAACCATTCCGTGCCATATGGAATTTATAGTTACACTCATCCAAGTTTATGAAGCTATAGGAGATCAAATGTGTAAAGAAACAGAAAAGTAATAATAGTGCATTGATGAATGCAGAAGATATTAGCATTTAGGTATCTTAATTCAATTTAAAACACACACACACACACACACACACACACACACACACACACAATTACTCAGGACCTCCCAGGAGCCAAAAGTGGTTGCATGACTGATTACAGTAGTAATGACTGACGGCTAATGGTGATTGCTGTGGCAACGGCGATCTTTATTCATTCAGCACGTAATTATGGGCTGCCTAGTATGGGCCTGCGCGGGGATGGGTGTTGAGCAAACAGAAGACCATACGGTCCGTGCAGCTTCTGGTCTAAGGAGTAAGCAAGGAAATGCACAGACGGAGTGCATTCCACAAAGAACCGCCTCTCTCGCTGGGAAAATGACAGTTCACCTGCATCCTACAGGGTGAGGAGTCAGCCCGGCAAAGAGTGCAGGAGCCGATGTCACAGAAAGTGGGCACGGCACACACAGAGGCTCTGGGTGGGGAGGAATCTTGGCTTCTGTGGGGAGGAGAGAAGGCAGGCCCCATGTGACCGGAACTGGGGCATGAGAAAACGGTGTGTGATGAGGTCATGGGGGAAGGTGAGAAGCAGATCATGCTGCAACTTGCAGGCCATGTGAAGGGTTTTGTTTTCTATTCCAAGTGCAGCGTGAGCCACTGAAGAGCGGTAAGCAGGAAGAGAAAAAAAAAAAGCGATGTTTTAGGATTTCTATGAAGAAGGGCTGGAGGAGGCAATCTGTGTGAAGGGAGGTGGTCAGCCCAGAATTTTCCGGAAAGTACGTGTGAACTGCAGTTAACTTAAACCAGAAAATGTTCATTATTCCTATGGAAGAACGGGGAGGCGTGGTGAGATAGATATTGTGGAAAGAGGGCCACCCCTCCACTCAGGCACCTCTGAATGCGGGCCTCACAGAGGAGTGACGTCATCGCGTGCCCATACGTTCAGCAGATGCCCTTGGGCACAGAAGATGCAGGCAGCAAACAGGCAGAGGTGGCTGAATCAGAGCAGAAAGGAAGGGCCGTTAAGCAATCGATCCATTCAGGTCACGTGACAACATTGACCGAGGTCATGAAGGTGGCAAGGCTTGCATCTAGCAAACAGCACATTGTGAGGCCAATCCTACATGAAGAAGGTGGCTGTGAAGTTCCGGTTGTCACAGCCACTGTTCAAACCACACGCCACGTGTGCACCTGTCACACGGGAACACTCACTGGTCCCATGAAAGCCCTGTGTCCCGAGCCCTGGTCTCAAATCTGTGGGCCTACTCGCGACAATCTGGGTTATGAGCTGTCCGTCAAGTAAGCTGGGGTGAACAGACCCAGTACCCAATCACAAAGTTTAGAATTACATAGGAAAATGACAAAGCAAATCAACCTTATAGCGTTAGTATTTTTAAGATTCAGACTTAAGAATACTTTGTACATTTGATATTGCCATATCAGATGAGCAGAGATACTAACTAGACACATCTGCATTGTGATTCCAGTTCAAATGTGTAATTGATTTTCGACTTGCAGTTTTGAGTTGAAAAGTAGGAGAATTCTGACTTTGAAAACTTTCCTCATTTAAAGCGTCAGGTTATTGGATTTGCAAGAGGTGAATGGACTGAAGAGCTGGAAGAAGGCAAACCCCACGAGGTTAGGTGTGCACGGTCATCCGTTGCCCTCCTCTGCTGGGAGTGGTATCTCGCCGGCATGTGTTTGATAACGAATGAACCTGGCTGAGTGCTCTGGAAGACGTGGTTGGAAACCTGCCCGACCACACATACTAAGTGCTTTTTAAATTTTACATACACGAAGTTTATAAATGCAGTGTAAGTTTTTAAGAAAATGCACTTCAGTGAGTTTCTAAATGAGTCTTCCGTTTGAGGTGACATATTTTTGAAAGCTTTCCCTGCAAGCCACAGTATGTTTAGTTGATTATTTAAACATTATCAGGTTTACAAAGAGAACAAATTGAATTCAAGACTTAAGGACGATTTGACTTTGGATTGTTATCTTCAGTACACTGAGGAGCCTACAAGCCAATGGATGGGAGAAAACAGCAGCCTTGGTAAATCAGGAGATTGTACAGAAGAGGAAGTAAGGGTAAGGAAGATGGGAGAAAAGAACTCCGGGGAGGAAGACGGAGACCGGAGGTTTGCGATGTTGGGAGGGGTGGTCGGGCAATATTCCGTTGTGTATATAGGTTCCAGATTCCCTTTGTCCCACCCTCTGCTGACGGGCACCTAGGTTGCTTTCATCGCTGGGCTGTTGTAAATAACGCTGCAATAAGCACAGGAATGCCAGATCTTTTCAAAGGCGTGTACCCGGACGTGGAGTCGCTGGGTTGGCAGGGAGTTCTATTTTTATCGTTTTGAGGAACCTCTGCATTGGTTTCCATAGTGGCTGGACCAGTGTGCCGGGGGAGTATAATACTAGAAGTATCAGGAGGGTCACGTATTAAACAGTATAAATGCCTACGCACTGCGCTGTACACCTGAAACTAATAAAAGCAGATTGAAGGTCAGCTGTAATTGAAAAATAAAACAAAACAGTACATTAATCCGTGGGGAGGGCCGGGGAAGACTTCACCTTATCCATCACCGGAGGCCCGTGCCTTTCCAGAGCGGGGCTCTCGGCACCCCGGTGTGCGTGCTCATGTGAGGCCCCCCCCTCTGTGTGTCCAGCGGAAATGCAACAAATGACCCTGGATTTATAATGTGGACTTGGGATCATAAAGGAACTAATATTAGACCCACTTCCTCTTCCCTCTGATCTGCCTGCAGCTAAAAAATAATAAGTAATGCCTTACGTTGGCCTAAAACCTGATTA